AGGGTCTTCCCCCTTGGCAAAGAACAATCACAACCTCACCCCTCACAACCTCACCCTTCGGGTAAAAACACGTTTTATGCTTTTATATCAACATGCATAGCTATCCTAAGCTCAAGCATAAGATCTAAAATAAGCATCTACAACACTATGAATTAATATGCGTACAACCTCAATCACATTCATAAAATTCGTCTCGACATACAACACACAAACACGCGAAATCAAGCGCTAATCTCTATTGCTATTCAACCATTTTGATCCATGAGAATGAACACTCCTTGTTCAGTCCCGATCATCCTTACACAAAACGGTTAGTATACACGTATACTACCAGAATTCGCCCTTTACTTGATGATAGCATTAGCTAGACCATCGCTTGCTCGTAACTTCAAGACTTCATTTGGATCTAAAACACGAATCTAAATAAGGATCGAGTCCAGGACAAGAATTAATCGTAAAATATTCTACACTATGGCTTACCAATATTTGGAAGCACCACCGCACGATTGCTCTTAGCCGGAAATTGCTATTGCAAAATACTCTACACGCCCGTTCTCTCTCTTCTTTCTCTCTTTAAACTTTCTCTAGTTTCTAAAATGAGAAAAGAAGCTAAGGGTGGTGGGTATTTATAGGATTCTAAAATGAGTGGTACTAGGTAGTCTTCTCTTCAATGATTGGCTAGCGGATTTTTGTGGTGAGAAGTGTTCCCACACTTGTTTAAGACTTTGGCCTCAAGTTTCTTCTCTTGCCGCGGGAAGTATCCCACTTACAATTGTAATACTTAATATTGTCCGGTCCACATTCCCCGTGTTTGCGCCCTTCTAGAACTCGCACATTCTAGAATCTCCATTTCATTGGCCTTTCCTCTCTAATCATTCAGCCTGCGATGCTCCGCGTGTTCCCTTGGCTACAATTAGATTCCTTCGGTTAAATTTTCTTTTCTTGATTAACTGTTGCTCTCTTGGCACAAGTAAGCATAACCAAAGTTAGTTTCTCTCAGCGAAAGCCACACAGCTCTCGGCCAATCTTCCTTGTCTCAGCGAAAATGTATTGTCTCGACCAAAATGCTTTTTTTATTGGCTAAACTGGATTCTTCTCGATAAAACGAGACGTCTTCTCGCCCAACTGATAACACCGTATTTGTCCCTAATTTCACCATTGATTTCAAATGCTTTTTCAAAGGTTTTAAACAGTTTTAGGAACTTTAATTATGATTTCTCTATATTTGTAGTTTCAAGGCTCTTTTCATGAAACTTAGGGGAAAAACTGGCAAAATGGAAGAAATCCACATTTTTAGCTCAGAGTCAGACCGTCAGAAGTTCAGCCTCAAATGAAGTCTTTCTCACCGTCTGATCTAGAGGAGACAATCAAGAGGAGATAACCAATATTTGGAGACAATCAAGAGGAGATAAACAGCTTTCCATAGAACTTTACATCAGAAAGATCCAACGGTGCAATCAAAAGAAACATGGAGAACAAGTTAACCAAATTCATCAGTCCCGGAAGACTCTCACCCACGGCAAACAAGTGTTTTACCTGCCCTGGAAGACTTTCACCCCCGGTGGACCCATGCCAAGCCACAAGGCCCAACATCAAAGCCCATTTCGCCAGTCCTAAATGAAAGCTGGAAGATCTTAGGACCAATAAATACATTTCTTAGCAGCCCTAAATGGGTGTGTGCTCCTGTAATCAGATTTTGAGCCACCAAACTTTGTTTTTGTAGAGTTAGGCGATGGAGAAGGGCATACTTTCCAGGATCCATTGTTCTTTCTTTTTTTTTTATCTAATTAACCTTTTCAGTTTCATCTTTTGCATCCTTTCATGTCTTTTATCATTCCTTGCATCATGTAGATTTGTCCTAGAGAGTCAAGTTTTTAAAGAGTCATCAATAGGCATATATGTTCGATTGATTAGGATTTCTAAGTTTCGAAACCATATTCTGGATTTCATCTCTTCTAAGTTGTTCATATTGCATGAGAGTAGATTCATGACCAATTCTCTGAGCCTAGGATCAATCAAAGACACGAGAGTGCTATATCAGATCATCCATACCTAGATTCAGAAGAACATAGTCGCTACAGGAGTCGAGAGCTACCTGTAGAGAAGATGTGAGCAGACGAATTCAATAGTTTATGCATGATCTTATTTCTGACATGAGAGCAAGAGGTAATTGTCAGATTTAAGTGATTAGTTGATTAAGAGGCGAGAGTTGGTTAATCATACTCATGTCTATTGCAGTTCCATGCAGATCCCAGAAGATAGATGAAGATAAATCGCTAGGAAGCTAATTGGAAATGCTTTGACATCGATTAGAGTAAACCGGAGAATTCTAAATCGCCCACTATGAATCTAGAGTCTATAGCTTGAGTCGAAAACCCTTGAGATATTCTTTTAGAAACTCATTTGCATTGATTTTATTTCCTGTAAATATTAGATTAGGTTTAGTTTAGGATCCGTAACCAAAAACTCCAAACCCCCAGGAGTTTAAGATTTTGCTTACTCTCCCAGGTTGGTATAATTTCAGATTAGACATCTTCACTGTGGATCGACACCCTAAGTCCTGTAACATACTTCTGTGCACTTGCAGACACTAGAGTTTTATAAATTTTGAACTTCGGACCAATGGGCTTGCAAAAAGACGAGCAACCCTAGGCCCACCATCACCAATTGCACACTTTCTCGGTACGAACTGCTCTTTCTTGGGTTTGGTTAAAGTATCTGGTTTTAGGACAGCCTTCCTAAAACACTCCACCATTCATTATCCTAAGATTTAAGGGTATTCTTTCTGAGAAAACTTTGAATTCTTCCACCATTAATAATCATAAGGCTTATGGAAACTCTATCCAAAATTTCTGGATTCTTACTCATTCATGCCCCCGACACCCTCAACAAGCTTAGAAAATAATTTCCCTTATAAGCATTTGGCCTAATCTTATCTCGCTCATAAGATTCAAAGTTGACAAGACTTTCTGTCTTACCATGTATGGTCTTAGCTTTAAGCTCCATATACAATTTTACAAGTGCGTACGATCTTTGTCCTACCGACTTCAAAAACGTCTTTCACACACAATTACCTATGGTCTTAGTCCTACGGACTTCACATATGACTTTCACACACAAACATCTACATATCCACATATGTAACAAAGATTCTGTCACTTCTGGTCTAATAATATATTTCTTATAAACATTGGTTTAGATAAGATAACCCTATTATAAAAGTTTGTTAGATTATGGTTTCTCTTTAGAAGTTCTTAATCGGAATTTGTGTTTGTGTGTTGTGGCTTGATTGACAACTTAGCTACTGCAATTAGGTTGATTAACTCACCAAAAGTGTTGCTGAATCACCTAAACTTATTTAGATACTTAGAGAATGAAATGGGAGTTCAGTAATCTAAGTGGCTTGAATTTGTTATTGATACTACGGGAGTAGATTAGTCTTGGTTCAAGTTCTAGAACTTATCTATAGAAAATTCTACATCCAATTATCTTCTTAGGTAATCTATGATTCCTGGCGAATTCCTTAATGCCCAATGTTTTCTCGTATTGATTTGGTCTTTATATTTACTCCATTTCAAGTTTAATACTTATTATTTTCGTCACTGTTCACAACCCCCAAACAAACACCTATATTTTTCATTTTAGCTCAATTCTCATTTCAAAGTAAATTCGTAATGTAGTTACTTGATCTTCAGTTGATCGACCCCTAAGTACTCTAATGCACTGTTGTGCACTTGCAAAAAATTAGGGTAAAACCTAAGCACATCAAGTTTTGGCAACGTTACTGTGGATTTTTAACGTTGCCTACGAGTTTCTGGTTGGAATCGAGTCTAAGGTAGATCTCTTGTTCATTTTTTTCTCATTTACTTCATAGAAGTATATATATATATATATATAGAGTAATTAAATTAAAAATATATTTATAAAAATACAAAAAAACGCTGACATGGGCAAGAACTTCATAGACATCAATAGGCTTAGAGAAAACCAAGACATTGAGTAACAACAAATTGGTGAGCATGGTCGGCTTCTTCGAGCTCAGTTCAATCAAATTCCTCCTTTCACTCTAGGGGATTATAATACCCCGTATGCTTTTTATGAGAACCGTTCTGACATTAGTCTATAACCTATCTCGAGGATTTGTGCTTGTGGGCTAGGGTGAATATTGCAGACCAGCATAAAGAGCATACCGCGAGTAGGAAGTAGAATTAATACAATGGCCCCTTTAAGACCCCTCAAATTTGAGCTAGGTCAGTCATAGGATTATCAAATCCCAGGGCTCAACCCTGAACAGGCGGTGGAAACTATGAATTGAAGCTGTAGCGTCGTCATTTGCTGGAATAGAAAGGCTAGCTACGTGATTGACTTATCCAAAAGCAGAACTCCTCTTCCTACGGCTCGAATGAGTATTATTGTTTATATCACCTAACTACCAAATCTGCCACCTCGCATACCACGACACAGGATTATTATTCACCCGTTGGATTTATTCAGGGAGCGTGCAAAGTCGATCGTGCACCTGTCGTGTCCGGTACCTTCGCGAACGAAGTTCATAATCAACAAGGGTTCTTCGTCGCTGACGTTCGTCAAGCAGGCCACGTGGATTGGCCAGGGTCTCACAAATTGCGAATACTAATTTGTTAAGAATGAATCCACCAAACCCTGCAACTGATGAGAAAGAAGGCCCTATGGGGTAAAGGGAAGTTTATGTAGACTATGAGATCAGCCCAGAACTCATCAAATTGGTTCAGCAGAACTAGTTCCATGGCGATACATCCGAGAATCCAATGGATCATCTTGATTATTTTGAAGAAATCTGCAGTACATACCAAACAATCAATCGGAGCTCTTGTGGATTATGTGAAGTGCAAGTTGTTTCCATTTTTTTTGAATGGTAAAGCATGTATATGGCTTAGGTCTTTGTCTCCTGGTTCTCTCAAATCATGGGACGAATGCAAGGATGCGTTTCTCAACCAATTCTACACCACCTCCAGATCAAAATTCTTTAGAGACAAGATTTATGGGTTCCAACAAAGAGAAGGCTAAATCTTTCATGAAGCTTGGAATCGTTATAAAGGATACATTATAATGTCCTCACCATGGTTTTTAAGAGACATGCATCTTTAATACTAGTCCTAGGCATTCGGGGCTGTGGTTCGGGTTGGGTCTGTTTTTCGGGTATCAGGTCTTTCAGGTAAAGAGGAATCTGAACCAAATTGGTCCCAAGGATTTTTTGGTTCAGTTCGGTTCTGGTCCTTCATGGTTTGGTTTGGTTCTGAGAATTATAAATAAACACGAAGAAGACCCGAATTTAATTTCGAGGGTTAGAACCAAAAACCGGAATAAAAAGATGACACGTAGACTCGATTTTACCTTTTATACAGATTTTGTTTTTTTTTGAAATCCCACAAGCTGATGAAGAACCCTAAATCGTGGCTCTAAAATTCCTAATTCGAAATTGATTATATGTTGGAGAGAGGAAGAATTGTGAATTCTGATAATGAGTAATATCTCTTGAGCTTTAAGTGGAACATCGACGGCTAGACAAAGAGGAAGAGTTGTGGGTGTGCCCAAGAAATGTTGGTGAGGAGATCAAATCATGGCATTGATTTCAAAATTTGATGCAAATCCTTATCGTCGATACTACCGGTGTGCATTTGCTGTAGCTAAAAAGGTAAACTGCTATGTGTTTTGAGTTTTGATCCTCATTAGCAAAATTGTAATATTTTGATTATGCAAATTTGTCTGTTGTTGTCATGAATTTTTGTAGCTTCCGAATGATAACCATATAGATAGAGGCACTACCTTATAGAACAGAAAAACTTGAGCAAGAACATATGGAGATGGAGAAGATGGTGTTTGAGAAGTTGGAAATGAAGATATAGAGGAAGGTCTTTGAGAGGATGTAAGAAGCAATGGTTGAAGTGAAATCCAACATGAAGAAGATGATTATTGTGGTAGGTGTTGGTTGTATGATCATTTTTGGTGTTTATAAACTCATAGGTTGAGTTTGTTTGTCAGTTTGGAGACTTGGAGTGGTGGTATATAAAACCTGGTGTAAGCGTATTATTAGTTGTAGTGTAAAGCCTTGTTGAAGTTTTAAGTAAAGGCCTGTTGGAGTTTGTTATCTATTTTTCAATTTGGAACACATCAGAATGGATTCTTAAACTCAACAGTTATTTAAGATAACATCAGAATGAATTCTTAAGAGTTAAGAGTTAAGAAATTAAGACTCTAAGGTTAAATACAAGCAAATCCGAACATAACAATTCAAGTATTCAACACTGAGAACACAGAAAAGAAGCTACCAAAACAGACATCTAAGCTCCCTGGTTCTGCAAAACAAATGGCAAACTCCATATGCTTCTTCAAAAACAAACTGCAAACTCCATAAGCTGCTCCAACAACAAACCAAAACTCCACAAGCTGCTCCAAAAACAAACTCCACAAGCCGCTCCAAAATCCACAAGCTGATTCATATAGGAAAGGCTATAAAAAAACCAGAAAAAATCACAAAACAGAAACACAAAACACAAAACAAAACATACACAAAGACAACCACAAAACATATAACTCCGAGTAGTCAAGGACAGGGAGTGAAGAACAATAAACACAAACTTGTACCTTTTAGTTGTTCCGAGATCAGTTTTGAAGGAAACCAACACAGTCAAACTCTGTATCACAAAAAACATAATGTTAAAAATTAAAACTCAGAATCACAAACAAAGAATCACTAATTAATAGTTACCTCTCTGAAGTTTATCTAGCAGTTTGATATGTTCATAATTTGCATCATTTAGGTTGCATAAATCATTCCAAATCATGTTTTATTTCATGCATTTTAGGTCCTTAGGGTTTGTTTTAGAACTTAGGAGATGCATTAGGTCCCAAAGAGTCTTTGCATGTTTTGAGTGTCTATCAGGTGAATATGGAGCTGAAAAGATGAATCCAGGAGGTGGAATGGTGAGCAAAGCTTGAAAAAGTGGAAAAATTGGGTCTTGGGAGATTATCGGCCATTCTCGCTGGCCAGGAAGGTTTTACCGGCCATTTTCATGTACTGCGGGAAGCTTTACAGGCCATTTTCATGTACCGCGAATGAAGTGTATCGGCCAAAATCTCCGGGTGTGAACGTGCCTCAGAAATCGCCTGTCCAGGGAGCCTTCCGGTCCGATTCAGACGGCGGGTGCTTCATAGCAGTTGGAAAGCATTGGAGCAAGGTCTCATAGCAAGTGGAATCGTGAAATTCGGACGCGTGAGCAGAGAGATAAGCTCGTCGGAAGGAACCCCTGTCTCGCAGGTATTCCGGACCGAGCAGATCAGTTCTGAAGGATGCGAAGGACGGTGCACTTCCAGGCCGATTCAGTTTCCGGGGCCTTCTTGAGAATCAGAGCCATTTGAGTCTTCTTTCCAGAACATCCGAGATCAGTCAATTCGGAGCTTTGAGCAGAAAGATACGGTCTCCGGAATGGACACATGTCTAGACGCCTTTCTCTGGTCGGTAAATGCACTTCAAAGATGTGCCCTCCAGGAAACCTTACACTTCCCAAGAACTGAAACTTCCTTCATCAAAGTTGGAGACAAATGAGTCCTCTGTCTTCTGAAACCAGAATCACTCAATTCGGACAAGTCGCCAGGAAGTTACACTCTCCGGAATGCGAGACGGTCCAGACAGCCCAGAGCGACTAAGTTAAGCATGCCGCGATGGAATGCCACGGTCCACACTTGGCCGTGGCAACTTTTGTGCACCTTCGGCAAATGAAACGATCTTCATGCCACGGTCTACACTTGACCGTGGCAAACACACACTTGGCTGATAGGAACTTCTTGCAACCTTCGGCGATTGACACGGCCTAAATGCCACGGTCTGAGGCTTGACCGTGGCAACTTCTTGCAACCTTCGGCGATTGGCACGAGCTGAATGCCACGGTCTGGGACTTGACCGTGGCAAATGAACAAGTGGCTGGAGACAACTTCTACACAGCTTCGGCTTTTGACACGATTTCAATGCCACGGCCTGAGACTTATCCGTGGCAAGCATAGACTTGGCTGGGAAGGATTTCACATGCATGCGGGTTTTGGCACGGTCAGAATGCCACGGTCTGGGGGCTTGACCGTGGCAACCTTTACACATCTTCGGCGTTTGACACGGTAACTTGCCACGAGTTCCAGATGAAGCTTGATCAGACCGTGGCATCAAAAGGAACCAAGAACACAAGTAAAGACTTTGACACGGTCAGGATTGCCACGGTCACTCCTAGAGCACACCAGACCGTGGCAAACCTACACTTACCCATCAAGGCCGGGTCAGTACCCGGTTTGTTCCGGGTTGACCCGGTTCGCCCAAGCCTCCTTTATAAGGTTTTTAGACCTAATTTGTAGAGAACACTTAATCTACTTTTAGTCTTCTTTCCCCTTTGGTGAAAAACATACTTAATACACTTTGTTTTAGAGAGTTTAAAATCGATTTGCAGTTTCTTTCCATCTTGTTCATCATTTCTTATCATCAAATCAAACTTCTAATCATGATTAACAACACATCTTGCAAAGGATCTAGTGTGTTGATCATGATTAGTGAGTAGTTACCTTAATGGTTCTAGATGTGTAGGTTAGGGTGCTAAAGTGTTAGATTAGGAATGCTTAGGGCTGGATTCATTGATTCATTTCTCTAAACAACTGTTCTCTATGCTAGATCCTTTATAATCACTTGAGATCTAGATTCTGGGAATTTCATGCACCAAAAGTGTTTGATGAAATTCCTGAAAGAGTTGTATTAGAGGTTTAAGCATTTTTCTGCATGGTGATGTATTGTTATTTGCTTGAATGATCATTGAGAACTGTTTATTAATGCATATTGATTCATATTTCACAAATGGGAATTTGGTTTGAAAATGGATTAGTGTAGGGGTTAATACCTTCATGAGAGGATTAACCTAGATTAGAGTTCTTAATCACTTGAATCATGTCTCATCATTGTCATTAGCATTTCTGGTTTAGCACCAAAGCACCCTAACCAACTATCATGTCTAGAATCTCATGCCTCCATCACATCATATTCACATCATTTGTCATTGTCATTTGTCTTTAAACCTGTTTAAGTTGTTTGTTGTCATTAGTTAATCAAAATCACTCTTGTTTGCTTGAATTAAGAACTTGATCACATAGTTTAGTGTCCAACACCACATCTGGATTGATAAACCTCTTTGTGCAACATTGACAAGGGGATTGATAGCCCTGAGACCCTAAAAAGTCTTGTCTATCAATTGGCGCCGTTGACAAATTGTGGTTGATTAGCATTAAGCTCTGATCTGTTCTTGAGATCAAGTGCTTACTTTCTTGTTTTTACTGATTCCTTTCAAGTTCTGTTTGTGATTTCAGGTGTATGAACACCAGGTCTAGATCAAGAAGCTGTGGTCCACCTTTCCCTCTCAACGACAACATCAACCTTTTGGTACCAAGGAGGAGAAGGGACAGACGTGGTAGACAGATTGATCAGGCTGACATGGAAGACCAAAGAGATCACGTGGTAGATATAGAACAACCGGTTCAGGAGCAACAGGCTCAGGGTAATGGAGTTGGTCAAGGGCTTCATCAGGGCAATGTTCATCAGGAACAGGTGCACCATCAACAAGCTTATGTCCACCAAGGACAAGCTCAAGCTCATCAACAAAGGCATCAGGCCAATGTTCAACAAAGACAACAAGTGCACCACCAACCCCACCCTTTCCAACCACAGCAAAGAAGATATGAGCAACCCCAAGTCTATGTTGGAGAGAATGAAAGGGCCAATGCTCATCAGTATGGAGCTGGTATTCAGGCACCACCTGTGCAAAACAACAACTTCGAAGTGAAGGCATCTTTGCTGAATATGGTCCAGAACTCAAAGTTCCATGGGTTAGCAATGGAAGATCCCTTGGAACACTTGGACCAGTTTGATAAGGTGTGTGATCTGACCAAGATTAATGGAGTTTCAGAAGACAGCTTCAAGCTAAGACTATTCCCATTCAGTCTTGGTGACAAAGCTCATCAATGGGAAAAGAATCTTCCAAGAGGCTCCATTCAAACCTGGGAGCAATGCAAGCAAGCCTTCTTATCTAAGTTCTTCTCCA